TCTTCTCTTCTTTTGATGGGTTTCAGGCACGTTGTAAAACCAGACTTTTGACCCATCCTAAGGTTTACTCTTTGCTGATTGCGTTGGCTTTGCTTTGTTGCTCTCTGCTTTTCCTTTGTATTGAATGTATTTTTGATGGCTCTCGGCCACCTTGAGACTCCTTTTCGGGATTAGAAGGCAGGGAATTAATTTTCTAAATAAACACAAAAACTGGAGACTCTGTTCTTTTTGCTTTTCCTCACTAGCAATGGATTGCTAACTTAGGAGTAGAGTATTATTGACCAAATGTTTTGGGTTAGGTTACAACCTCTTTCACACCAACCCAGCATTGATCTTGATGTTGTTTGCCTTCAAGCAGTTTCCAGCTTGATGCTACCATAAAGTGAACCTAGCATGCTGTTTACTTGGCAAGAGTCATCTCAGGGAGATTGGCCATTTGCCTTCCTTTGAGGCTGAGAGAGTGTGACTCCTTGTATGATTTCGGCTTCGGAAAATTCATTCCCCGCCTTCTAATCCCGAAAAGGAGTCTCAAGGTGGCCAGGAGCTGAAAAATACTAGAAACTTAAGAGAGTGACATAGGTAGAATTATGTTATAATATATTTTTATATTATACTATACTATTATATTTTTATTATATTCTTATATTATTTTTTATGATAGGACCAATGAAGCAATTGGGTTTTTTTATTATATTATAATTACATTAATATATGTTATAATATATTATTATATTATGTTTTTATGATAGGACCAATGAGGCAATTGGGTTTATTATTATATTAAAATTATTTTATGTTATAATATTTTTATATTATATTATTACATTGTATTTTTATTATATTATTATATTATGTTTTTATGATAAGATCAATGAAGCAATGGGGTTTATTATTATATTATTATTATATTATATTAATATATGTTAGAATATTATTATATTATATATTATTATATTATATTAATATATGTTATAATTATTGTATTATTATCATTATATTTTATCTTTATTTTATTAAATATTATATGTTATAATCTTATTTTATTATCATTCTATTTTATTATATTATTATATTATGTTTTTATGATAGGACCAATTTTGTTTTGTCGTGTCAGGAGCGACTTGAGAAACTGCAAGTCACTTCTGGTGTGAGAGAATTGGCTGTCTGCAAGGATGTTGCCCAGGGGACGCCTGGATGATTTGATGTTTTTATCATCCTTGTGGGAGGCTTCTCTCATGTCCCTGCATGAGGAGCTGGAGTTGGTAGAGGGAGCTCATTCGCTTCTCCCCGGAGTCAAACCTGCGACCTGTCGGTCTTCAGTCCTGCCAGCACAGGGGTTTAACCCACTGCGCCACTGGGGGCTCCATATATATATATATGTTATAATATTATTATATTATATCATTATTATATTATATTTTATTATATTAAATATTATGTTATAATATAATATTTTATTTATTATATTATATTATTATTATATTATATTATGTTTTTATGATAGGACCAATGAGGCAGTGGGGTTTGTTATTATATTATATTATTATATTTTAATATATCATTATATTATATTTTATTATATTGTTATATTATTTTTTATGGTAGGACCAATGAAGCAATTGGGTTTATTATTATATTATAATTGTATTAATATATGCTATATTATGTTTTTGTTATATTATATTATGTTTTTATGATAGAACCAATGAGGCAATGGGGTTTATTATTATATCATAATCATATTAATATATGTTATTATATTATTATATTAATATTATATATTTATATTATTATACTATGCTTCTATGATAGGACCAATGAGGCAATGGGGTTTATTATTATATTATAATTATATTAATATATGTTATAATATTATTCTATTATATTATTATTCTATTATATTTTATTGTATTATTATATTATATTAATATGTCATTATATTATTATATTAATTTTATATCTTTACATTATTATACTATGACTTTATGATAGGATTAATGAGGCAATGGGGTTTATTATTATAATTATATTAATATATGCTATGATCTTATTCTATTATATCATTATTCTATTCTATATTATTATATTATATTAATATATGTTATTATAATATATTATTATATCATGATATTATATATTAAATATATATTACATTATATTTGATCTTTATTTTATTAAATATTATATGTTATAATATTATTATATTATATTATTATACTATTATAGCCAGGCAAAGACCGTAAAGACCCAAAAAGCTATAGACCAATCTCCCTGTTGTGCCACCTCTACAAAGTTCTGGAGAGACTTATTCTTCATAGAATTACGGAAAAAATAGACCCATGTCTGATTCCACAGCAAGCTGGCTTCAGGAAAGGCAAAAGCTGCACATCGCAAGTGCTGAACCTGACTCAGCACATAGAAGATGGCTTTGAAAGGCAGCAGATCACAGGAGCTGTCTTCATAGACTGTCAGCAGCCTATGATACTGTGAACCACCGCCTCCTCCTGAGAAAAATGTATAATATCACAAAGGATGACCTCCTCACCCGCCTCATAGGAAACCTGCTACAAAACAGGAGCTTTTTTGTTGAGTTCCAGGGCCAGAGAAGCAGATGGCGGAAACAGAAGAACGGCCTGCCTCAGGGGAGCGTGCTTGCTCCATCCATGTTCAACATCTACACAAATGACCAGCCACTGCCAGAAGGGACAGAGAGCTCCATCTATGCTGATGATCGTGCCATCACCGCTCAAGCAGGGAGCTTTGAGATGGTTGAACAGAAGCTCTCCGAAGCTCTAGGTGCTCTTACTGCCTATTACAGGGAAAACCAGCTGATCCCTAATCCATCTAAAACACAGACATGTGCTTTTCACCTTAAGAACAGACAAGCATCCCGAGCTCTGATTACCTGGGAAGGAATCCCACTGGAGCATTGCAGCACACCCAAATACCTGGGAGTCACTCTGGACTGTGCTCTGGCCTACAAGAAGCACTGCCTGAACATCAAGCAAAAAGTGGGCGCTAGAAACAATATCATACGAAAGCTGACTGGCACAACCTGGGGATCACAACCAGACACAGTGAAGACATCTGCCCTTGCTCTGTGCTACTCTGCTGCCGAATATGCATGCCCAGTGTGGAACACATCTCACCACTAAAACAGTGGATGTGGCTCTTAATGAGACATGCCGCATTATCACGGGGTGTCTGCGCCCTACACCACTGGAGAAATTACACCGCTTAGCCGGTATTGCACCACTTGACATCCGCTGGGAAGTAGCAGCCAATAGTGAAAGGACCAAGGCAGAGACATCTCCAGCTCATCCCCTGTTTGGGTATCAGCCAGCACGTCAACGACTTAAATCTAGGAATAGTTTTCTAAGATCTACAGAGACACTCGCTGGAACACCTCAGCAAGCGAGAGTCCAAAAGTGGCAGGCTCAAACCCAGAACCTCAACCCATGGCTGATACCAAATGAGAAACTCCCTCCTGGGCACACAGAAGACTGGGCGACTTGGAAGGCGCTGAACAGACTGCGCTCTGGCACCACGAGATGCAGAGCCAACCTTAAGAAATGGGGCTACAAAGTGGAATCCATGACGTGCGAGTGTGGAGAAGAGCAAACCACTGACCACCTGCTGCAATGCAACCTGAGCCCTGCCACATGCACAATGGAGGACCTTCTTGCGGCAACACCAGAGGCACTCCAAGTGGCCAGATACTGGTCAAAGGACATTTAATCAACTACCAAGTTTGCAAAATTTGTGGTTTTTTTAATCTGTTTGTTTGTTTTGTTCTGTTAGAAATGTAATACAATGTTCTGGTTGTGGATTACACGATAAATAAAATGTAATGTAAATATATAATTATAATATTGTATTATTATTACTAGTATTATATTATAGTATTATACATTGTAGCCATTTTATGAACCAGCCTGGACACAGCATATTATTTGAGAACACAGAAATGCTGGACCACACCAACAACCACCATGTCAGACTACACAGAGAAGCCATTGAAATCCACAAGCATGTGGACAATTTCAACAGAAAGGAGGAATCCATGAAAATGAACAAAATCTGGCTACCAGTATTTAAAAACTCTAAAATTACAACAGCAAAACAGCAGAGAGGAAACCAGGCACATCTTAACACCTCTCAACAAAAGATTTTCCCAGGCTCAGCCAGGCCTTCAAATGCTAATGAAGGTGGTCAGTTGAAACATTCACACCTAGCTCCAGCAGGAAGAGCTCTTTGCCCCACCCCAGCCATTCCACAGATATATAAACCCATTGTCCTATTCCAACAGACCTCACTACCTCTGAGTATGCTTGCCATAGATGCAGGCGAAACGTCAGGAGAAATGCCTCTAGAACATGGCCTATAGCCCGAAAAAACCCACAACCCAAATTATTATTATTTATATTATAATTATATTATACTATAATATTATTATATTATATTATATCATAATATTATTATATTATATTATAATTATATTATATTAAATTAAAATTATATTATATTATAATATTATTATATTATATTATAATTATATTATATTAAAATTATATTATATTAAAATTATATTATATTATAATATTATTATATTATAATATGATTATATTATATTATATTATTATTATCTTATAATTATAATTATATTATATCATAATATTATTATATTATGTTATATTATGTTTTTTATGATATTATTATATTATGTTTTTTATGATAGGACCAATGAGGCAATGGGGTTTAGAACCCAGGAACCCAAATCGTGTTGGATAGTGAATGATCCTCTGCTTAGAAATGGGTGTTTTCCTTCCCATCCTTTGGCCTCTCTTTCTCTACATTCCCCCCACCTTTTCCTTTAGGAGTGGGGCGCATGCGCAGGAGACAGGGAGAGCTCTGACGTCATAGAGTCAGCTCCCCCCCCTCTCTTTCTCTTCCCCCCTCCCCTCCGTTAGAAGGAGCAACACTGAGAAGGCGGCGCTCTCGCCCTGCCTTTCCTCCCTCCCTCCTTTTTTCCCCTCCCTCCCTCCTTTCCTCCCTCCTCTCTGCTTTCTCTCTCCGTCAGGATCGCCTTGGACGATGCCCTCGCTCGCAGCCATCGCCCATTAGAGACCCCCCCAAGTTCGGGGGAGCAGGAGGGGACCCCTTGAGATCCCCCCCACCCAAAGAGAAACCCCAAAAGAAAGGGGGAAAGGAGACAGAAGGGAAGAAGGAAGAGACCCAAGAAGAATAAGAAAGAGACAACAAAGATAAATCCTTGCAACATTGTGTTGTGTTTGGCTGAGCTGCTCCCGACAATTCCCCGACAATTCCCCGACAATTCCCCGACAATTCGAAGCTGTCACTTGGATGCAACGTTTGGAGTGAAGCAGAGCAAAAAAAGACGCAGAGAGAAGGAAAGGAAGGAATTAAGGAGAGATTGTCTGCCAGGGAAGAAGAGAGAAGAAGGCAAGAAGGGGAGATTGGTTTTCTTTGGTGCACCAGCATCTCCCTGGCTTTGGTCCATCGGTGGTCTTCTCCTTCTCCCTGGCTGTGATTGGAGCTCGCCCTGCCTTTGGAGCAAGGAAAGAAGGGAAGGAAAGGGGGTCTTTTGTATTCTTGTTGTTGTTTTATAGGGGGGGGATTCGCCCTTTTTGTGTGTGTGCCCACCACCATGGGATGTACCCTCAGCGCGGAGGAGAGAGCCGCCTTGGAAAGGAGCAAAGCGATCGAGAAGAACCTCAAGGAAGATGGCATCACCGCCGCCAAGGATGTCAAGCTCCTCTTGCTGGGTAAGTAGGCAAGCACACAGACATAGATAGAGATACATGTATGTATGTGTATATGCGGACGTACATAGATACCGCTATGTCTCCTCTTGCTGGGTAAGTAGGCAGGCACACAGACATAGATAGAGATACATGTATGTATGTGTATATGCGGACGTACATAAATACCGCTATGTCTCCTCTTGCTGGGTAAGTAGGCAGGCACACAGACATAGATAGAGATACATGTCTGTATGTATGTGTATATGCGGACGTACATAGATACCGCTATGTCTCTTCTCCAGGTGAGATATGAGCATCCCTCCCTTCCTCAGGTGTGGTCTTCTTCCCCTCTCCCACCCCTCCATTTCTTCTATTTGCCATCACTATCTATCCATCCATCTATCTATCTATCTATCTATCTATCTATCTATCTATCTATCTATTTATCTATCCATCATCTCTATCTATCTATCTATCTATCTATCTATCTATCTATCTATCTATCTATCTATCTATCTATCTATCTATCCATCCATTCATCCATCCATCCATCCATCCATCCATCCATCTAAGCTTGATGTTCCCAGCTGACAAACTGTATGCATGTCTGTCTATCCATCTATCTATCTATCTTTCCATCCATCCATCCATCTAGCTATCTATCTTTCTATTTATCCATCCATCCATCCATTCATCTATCTATCTCTATCTATCTATCTATCTATCTATCCATCCATCCATCCATCCATCCATCCATCTATCTATCTATCTTTCTATTTATCCATCCATCCATTAATCTATCTATCTATCTATCTATCTATCTATCCATCCATCCATCCATCCATCCATCCATCCATCCATCTATCTATCTATCTATATACCTCCCTCTCCCTATATATTATGAAATCCTTCTTCGTTTTGTGCACCCAGGGGCATTGGATATGTGTAGATAGATAGGATAGGATAGGATAGGATAGGATAGACAGATGGATAGGATAAATAAATAGACAGATAGAATAGAATAGAGAGATAGATAGAATAGATAGATAGATGGATAGATAGATGGATATGACAGATAGGATAGATAGAATAGATAGATGATGGATAGATATGATAGATGGATAGATGATAGATGGATAGATAGATAGATGAGATAGATAGAATAGATAGATAGACAGATGGATATGATAGATAGGATAGTTAGATAGAATAGATAGATAGAATATATGGATAGATAGATAGATAGATAGATAGACAGACAGATGGATATGATAGATAGAATAGATACATAGAATAGATAGATAGAATAGATAGCATAGATGGAGAGAGAGAAAGAGAGATGGATTATGAAATACAGCCTTCCTTGCTTTGTACATCCCAAGGCAATGGATTTATGTAGATACATAAATAGATAGATAGTCATATGTGTGTGTGTGTGTGTGTGTATTCCCCCTTTCTATATAAGCATTATGGGGCATATATAGAAAGGGGGAATATATGTGTGTGTGTGTGTGTGTGTGTATTCCCCCTTTTTATATATGCACTGTGGGGCATATATATAAAGGGGGATATGTATATATAATTACATGCATCCTTCTTGGCTTTGTGCACCATGGATCATATATACATACATATATATATGAGGGGATTAATATTATATAATTATAGTATGTATATTATAGACAGATGGATATGATAGATAGAATAGATACATAGAATAGATAGATAGAATAGATAGCATAGATGCTATATACATACATATATATTCATACATATATATATGAGGGGATTAATATTATATAATATTATTAAATATTATATTATTGTACATTATATTATGAAATGCATTCTTCTTGGCTTTGTGCACTATGAGGCATATAGGAATATATATCTATATATCTTTCTCTACACAGATATAGATATTTTGAAATACATCCTTCTTGGTTACCATGAGGCGCATAGGAATATATATATATGTGTGTGTGTGTGTGTGTAATACATATAGAGTAATATATATTATAATAGGAATAATAGATAGATAGATAGATAGATAGATAGAGCTATATATATATATATACACATATATGATGAAATACATCCTCCTTGGCTTTCTGCACCCAGGGGCATTATACACACACACAAACATACATATATAGGCATATATATGATGAACTACATCCTTCTAGACTTAGTGCACCCAGGGGCATTTGATATATATATATATATATATATATATATATATATATCCATACAATTTCCTTTCCAAATCAAGAGGAAATATAAACTGATAGGAAAGGAGGATGAGTGTGTTTTCTGGGGAGAGGCTGGCCCTAGATATTAAAGGGAATATGATAAAATATATTCTTCTTGGCTTTCTGCACCTGGGGGCATTTGATGTGTGTGTGTGTATGTGTGTGTGGATAGATAGATAGATAGATAGATAGATAGACGCGCGCACGCACGGTATATATGATGGAATACATCCTTTGTGACTTTGTGCACCATGGGGCATATAATATATATATTCATAATATATAATATATATACTTAATATATATAATATAATTAAATGCATGCTTATTGAGTTTGGAACCATGGGGCATATAGGAATGTGTGTGTGTGTGTGTGTGTGTATGAATATATATATGATGAATACATCCTTTGTGAGTTTGTGCACCATGGGGCATTATATATAGTATAATAATATAATATAATATATATTATAATATATTATATATAATATAATATGCTTAATGAGGTTGTGAACCATGGGGCATATAGGAATGTGTGTGTGTGTGTGTGTGTGTATGAATATATATGATGAAATACATCCTTTGTGAGTTTGTGCACCATGGGGCATTATATATAATATAATATAATATAATATAATATAATATAATTAAATGCATGCTTATTGAGTTTGTGCACCATGGGACATATAGGAATGTGTGTGTGTGTATGAATATATATATGATGGAATACATCCTTTGTGAGTTTGTGCACCATGGGGCATTATATATATATATATATATATATATATATATAATTCAATGCATTCTTATCGAGTTTGTGAACCATGGGGCATATAGGAATGTGTGTGTGTGTGTATATATAAAAAATATCAAATGCATGCTTATTGAGTTTGTGTACCATGGGGCATTATATATATAATATAATATAATATAATATAATATAATATAATATAATATAATATATAATTAAATGCATGCTTATTGAGTTTGTGTACCATGGGGCATATAGAAATGTGTGTGTGTGTGTGAATATATATGATGAAGTACATCCTTTGTGACTTTGTGCACCATGGGGCATTATATATATATAATATAATTAAATGCAATTATATGAATGATAATAGAATATAATATAATATAGTAATTAAATGCATGCTTATTGAGTTTGTGTATAATGCATTATATATACATATAATATAATATCATATAATATAATATAATATACTATAATTAATATATATTCCTGCTTGCTCTTGAGGCATCCACCAATCAAACAATAGGAGGTGGTGTGTGTGTGTAGTATATATATATATATATATATAAAATATATAATCAAATGCATGCTTATTGAGTTTGTGTACCATGGGGCATTATATAATATAATATAATAATATAATATAATATAATATAATATAATATATAATTAAATGCATGCTTATTGAGTTTGTGTACCATGGGGCATATAGAAATGTGTGTGTGTGTGTGAATATATATGATGAAGTACATCCTTTGTGACTTTGTGCACCATGGGGCATTATATATATATAATATAATTAAATGCATGCTTATTGAGTTTGTGTACCATGGGGCATATCGGAATGTGTGTATGTATGTGTGTGTGTGTGTGTATATATATATATATATATATATATTCTCTCTCTCTCTCTCACACACACACACACATATATATAGGCATCCTTCTTGGCTTTCTGCACCTGGGGCATTGGATGCTCACCCCAAAGGACTTTTTTTTCCAAACTGGAATGAGTCAATGGGATGGAATAAGTGGACTGGGTGGGTTTCCAAAGGGATCCATAAACACAGCTGGAGGGAGGAGAGATGGGAATGGGAAAAGAAAGGCACACAATGGAGGCAAGCAGGGCTTTCCACCCAGGAGCTCTCCCTCTCCTTCTCTCTCTCAATCTCTCTCTGTCTCAATCTCTCTCATGTGTGTGTGTGTTTGCTGCCTCCATCTTCGGCCCCACCTTTTGCTGTATTGCACAAATAGGCTCCAGCTAGGCTTTGCCTTTCTCTACCTGCCTTCCCTTTAAATATCTAGGGCCAGCCTCTCCCAAAAAAGCACACTCTTCCTCCTTTCCCATCAGTCTATATTTCCTCTTGATTTGGAAAGGAAATTGTATGGAGATATGTGTGTGTGTGTGTGTTTATCTCAAATGCCCCTGGGTGCACAAAGTCTAGAAGGATGTATTTCATCATATATATGCCTATATAAGAATGTGTGTATGTTTGTGTGTGTGTATAATGCCCCTAGGTGCAGAAAGCCAAGGAGGATGTATTTCATCATATATGTATATATAGCTATATCAAAATTTAGATATTATATATATATATATATATATATATATATATATATATATATAAAATATTATATTTATATATATATAAACATGAACATGGCCATATAGCCCGGAAAAACCTACAACAACCCATATATATATGTATTATTCCTATTATAATATATATTACTCTATATGTATTACACACACACACATATATATATTCCCATACGCCTCATGGTAACCAAGCAAGATGTATTTCAAAATATCTATATCTGTGCAAAGATATATAGCTATATATTCCTATATGCCTCATAGTGCACCAAGCCAAGAAGAATGCATTTCATAATATAATGTACAATAATATAATATTTAATAATATAATACAATATTAATCCTCTCTCTCTCTCTCTATATATATATATATATATCAAAATATCTATATTCCTCTTGATTTGGAATTTTTTCCTCTTGATTTGGAAAGGAAATTGTATTGACAGATATACCTCCCCGCAACAGATGCATAAGTGAACATTGTATATATGTATGTAAACATATATACACACACACACACACACATATATATATCTCCCATGCAGTATTTCGCATGGAATAATATAATATAATATTTGTAAATAATATATAAATATTATATATATAATATATAAATAATATAATATTTAATAATATAATACAATATTAATCCCCCCCCTCTCTCTATATATATATATCAAAATAAGTGTACATTGTATATATGTATGTAAACATACACACACACACACATATATATATCTCCCATGCAATATTTCGCATGGAATAATATAATATAATATTTATAAATAATATATAAATATTATATATATATAATATATAAATAATATAATATTTAATAATATAATACAATATTAATCCCCCCCTCTCTCTCTATATATATATCAGTCAAAATATCTATATCTGTGTAGAGAAAGATATATAGATATATATTCCTATATGCCTCATAGTGCACAAAGCCAAGAAGAATGCATTTCATAATATAATGTACAATAATATAATATTTAATAGTATAATACAATATTAATCCTCTCTCTCTCTCTCTATATATATATATATATATCAAAATATCTATATTCCTCTTGATTTGGAATTTTTTCCTCTTGATTTGGAAAGGAAATTGTATTGACACATATACCTCCCCGCAACAGATGCATAAGTGTACATTGTATATATGTATGTAAACATACACACACACACACACACATATATATATATATATCTCCCATGCAATATTTCGCATGGAATAATATAATATAATATTTATAAATAATATATAAATATTTATAAATAATATATAAATAATATAATATTTAATAATATAATACAATATTAATCCCCCCTCTCTCTCTATATATATATCAAAATAAGTGTACATTGTATATATGTATGTAAACATACACACACACACACATATATATATCTCCCATGCAATATTTCGCATGGAATAATATAATATAATATTTATAAATAATATATAAATATTATATATATATAATATATAAATAATATAATATTTAATAATATAATACAATATTAATCCCCCCCCTCTCTCTATATATATATCAGTCAAAATATCTATATCTCTGTAGAGAGAGATATATAGATATATTCCTATATGCCTCATAGTGCACAAAGCCAAGAAGAATACATTTCATAATATAATGTACAATAATATAATATTTAATAATATAATACAATATTAATCCCCCCCCCTCTCTCTATATATATATATATCAATCAAAATATCTATATCTGTGTAGAGAGAGATATATAGATATATATTCCTATATGCCTCATAGTGCACAAAGCCAAGAAGAATACATTTCATAATATAATGTACAATAATATAATATTTAATAATATAATACAATATTAATCCCCCCCTCTCTCTATATATATATATATCAATCAAAATATCTATATCTGTGTAGAGAAAGATATATACATATATATTCCTATATGCCTCATAGTGCACAAAGCCAAGAAGAATGCATTTCATAATATAATATAATAATATAATATAATATAATATAATATAATATAATATAATATAATGTACAATAATATAATATTTATTAATATAATACAATATTAATCCTCTCTCTTGATTTGGAATTTTTTCCTCTTGATTTGGAAAGGGAATTGTATTGACACATATACCTCCCCGCAACAGATGCATAAGTGTACATTGTCGATATGTATGTAAACATATATACACACATATATATATCTCCAATGCAATATTCCGCATTGGAAGCTCTCCGCCCTGGCTCGCTTTTGGCACGAAAGCCCCAACCCTTTGCACAGCTGTTTCTCCCTGTAATCTCCTTTATCGCCTTATATTCTCACACTAGCCAGATCGCGTCTTCATTGGGGTTTTAGCTTTTGATTTAATGTTGTTTTTTCCCCTCTCTCTTTCTCTCTCTTTCCCCTCCAAAAAATAATAATGCAGGAGCTGGTGAATCGGGGAAAAGCACCATTGTCAAGCAAATGAAGTAAGTGTCCCTCTTTGCACCAATCTTCAATGCTGGGAGATGCAGTGATTTGTATTTTCGTTGCAAAAATAACCCTGGTTGCTTGTGGTTAAGCTTACGGATTGAGACAAACACACATATATATGTATATTTGAGACTGGGTGGAGTGGAAGGCAGGCCTTTGCTCCTTTTCTCCTCCATGCAAAGGCAAAGAAGGCTCCGAGTTGGATGAATGAGCATCCGCCATGTTTGGAGTGGATGTGTATTGGCAAGGAGGAGGAGGGGGGAATCTTGTTGTTTTTCCTGCTGATCTCCCTTGGATGGAGAGGAGATTGCAAATGGAGATGAGATTGCAAAGGCTGATAGAGAGACAGGCAAGAAGGAGGAAGGGGAAAGGACCCCTCCATCACCCACCCTTTCAAAAATCCTGTTTATGTGCATTTGCCATGCACTGATGCACTGATGCGCCAGGTGTCTGCTGTTCGGGGCTTTGGTGCTGAAGTAGGTCTCCTAATGCTTGCATTCCTCCTGGAAAAAAAGGGCGGAGGATGAAGAAGAAAGGAAGGAAGGAAAGAAAGAAAGGGTGGGAATTGGGGGTCAGTTTACCTGGACATTGCCCAAAAAGTTCCTTCTCGCAAATCCAATCACATTTTATTTGCACCAAACCAGTGGCTGTTTGCAATGATTGCACACCCAAGTACATACCAGTCAAGTTTCCTAGGACTAATGTAATCATAATAACAACAACAACAACAACAACAATAACAATAATAATAATTACATTTCTGCATACCAGAAATCGCATTTTATTTGCACCAAACCAGTGGCTGTTTGCAATGATAACACACCCAAGTACATACCAGTCAAGTTTCCTAATACTAATGCAATAATAATAATAATAATAATAATAATAATAATAATCTTTATTTATACCCCGCCATCATCTCCTCGATGGGGACTCGGGGCAGCTTAGAGGCCATTGGGGGTCGGTTTACCTGGACGATGCCCAAAAAGTTCCTTCCTGCAAATCCAATCACATATTATTTGCACCAAACCAGTGGCTGTTTGCAATGATAACACACCCAAGTACATACCAGTCAAGTTTCCTAGTACTAATGCAATAATAATAATAATAATAATAATACATTTCTGCATACCAGAAATCACATTTTATTTGCACCAAACCAGTGGCTGTTTGCAATGATAACACACCCAAGTAAATACCTGCCAAGTTTCCTAGTTCTAATGTAATAATAATAATAATAATAATAATAATAATAATAACAACAACAACAACAACAATAACAATAATAATAATTACATTTCTGCATACTAGAAATCACATTTTATTTGCACCAAACCAGTGGCTGTTTGCAATGATTACACACCCAAGTTCGTACCAGTCAAGTTTCCTAGTACGAATGCAATAATAATAATAATAATAATAATAATAATAATAATAATAATAATAGCAGTAATAATAATACATTTCTGCATACCAGAAATCACATTTTATTTGCACCAAACCAGTGACTGTTTGCAAAGATAACACACCTAAGTACATACCAGCCAAGTTTCCTAGTACTAATGCAATAATAATAATAATAATAATAATAATAATAATAATAATAGCAATAATAATAATAATAATAATAATAATAATAATAATACATTTCTGCATACCAGAAATCACATTATATTTGCACCAAGCCAGTGGCTGTTTGCAATGATTGCACACCCAAGTACATACCAGTCAAGTTTCCTAGTACTAATGCAATAATAATAATAATAATAATAATAATAGCAATAATAATACATTTCTGCATACCAGAAATCACATTTTATTTGCACCAAACCAGTGGCTGTTTGCAATGATAACACTCCCAAGTAAATACCTGCCATGTTTCCTAGTACTAATGCAATAATAATAATAATAATAATAATAATAATAATAGCAATAATAATACATTTCCTCATACTAGAAATCACATTTTATTTGCACCAAACCAGTGGCTGTTTGCAATGATTACACACCCAAGTATATACCAGCCAAGTTTCCTAGTACTAATGCAATAATAATAATAATAATAATATATTATTATTATTATTATTATTTGTATCAAGGCAGTAGCTGTTTGCAATGATAACACGCCCAAGTAGATACCAGTCAAGTTTCCTAGTACTAATGCAATAATAATAATAATAATAATAATAATAATAATAATAATGCATTTCTGCATTCGAGAAGTTGTACTAAATGGCCCATGTCTCTTCCCATTCTATAATAATATGAAAATAATAATAATAAATTATTTGTATCAAGCCAATGGCTGCTTGCAATGATAACACACCCAAGTAAATACCTGCCAAGTTTCCTAGTACTAATGCAATTAATAATAATAATAATAATAATAATAATAATAATAATACATTTCTGCATGCCAAGAAGTTGAACTAGATGGTCCATATCTCTTCCCACCCTATAATTCTATGATGATAATAATAATAATAATAATAATAATAATAATAATAATAATAATAATAATACCTTTGTTTTCTGCCTCTACCTCACAATTCAAGGTGGGGTCCAAAAAGGTCCTTCCTGCAAATCCAATCATATATTATTTGTATCAAGCCAATGGCTGCTTGCAATGATAACACACTCAGTACATACCAGTCAAGTTTCCTAGTACTAATGCTATTATTTATTTATTTATTTATTTATTTTACTGACATAAAAACAAGGTATGTCATAGCAAATGAGATATATATGCTGGATTATTATTATTATTATTATTAACCACTTTGAAAAGAGTTGGGTAATGAATTGTTGTTGTTGTTGTTGTTATTACCCACCTGTTTTCAACGTTGGCAGCAACAACAACAACAATAATAATGATTCATTACCAAACTCTTTTCAAGGTGGTTAATAATAATAATAATAATAATAATAATAAATATTTATTATCCATCTGTTTTCAAGGTGGGCAATAATAATAATAATAATAATAATAATAATTCATTACCCAACTCTTTTCAAGGTAGCTATTATTATTATTATTATTATTATTATTATTATTATCCACCTTGAAAAGAGTTGGGTAATTAATCATTATTATTATTATTATTATTATTAATTACCCACCTGTTTTCAAGGTGGGCAACAACAACAATAACAATAATAATAATAATGATTCATTATCCAAGTCTTTTCAAGGTGGATAATAATAATAATAATAATAATAATAATAATAATAATAATAATAATAATAATTTGCTGTCTGTCTCTCTTGTCAAGTTGGGTACCCTCTTTCCTGTTTCTCTCCCTCCCACCCCACTGGAATACCACAAAATCCATAGAAAAGGGTTGAAAGCATAACATAACCAAGCTTCATTGGCTTCTTGGTCAGGCCAAGAAGTTGAAAACCATGCAGGAGAAGAGAAGTGGCCATGCCAGATCTGGGCCTTTCTTCTCTTCCGCCCTTTTTTCCCCCTTCCCTCGTTCCCTCGCTAATTAATGATGGCAGAATTTGGCTGCAACTGCAAATTAAGCCGGTGGAGATTGGAGGAGATCACTCAAGCCGGCAAGACCGGAAGGAGCTGGGGAGGGAGCGATGTGTATACGGAGAGTGTTGGACTGCATCTCCCATCAATCCTCACTCGAATAAGCCATTGATTGGGAATGTGATGGGAATTGTAGCACATAAGGGCCTTTCCGTACGGCAAATCCCATCATGCATGGTCCATTATACCCCAAACCGCACCAGGATATAAAGTATGTAATAGGAGGTCTATGTCCCAAGTTTGGGCCATATCCATGGCTGATGGAGTTTGTAGTGGTCTGTGGAAGCAGGTGAAAGTACTTCAAATCCCATCATGCATGGTCCATTATACCCCAAACCGCACCAGGATATAAAGTGGGTAATGGGAGGTCTATGTCCCAAGTTTGGGCCATATCCATGACCGATGGAGTTTGTAGTGGTCTATGGAAGCAGGTGAAGGTACTGCAAATCCCATCATGCATGGTCCATCATACCCCAAACTGCACAAGAATATAAAATAGGTTATAGGAGGTCTATGTCCCAAGTTTGGTCCATATCCATGGCTGATGGAATTTGTAGTGGTCTGTGGAAGCAAGTGAAGGTACTGCAAATCCCATCATGCATAGTCCATTATACCCCAAACCACACCAGGATATAAAATATGCAATAGGAGGTCTATGTCCCAAGTTTGGTTCATATCCATGGCCGATGGAGTTTGTAGTGGTCTGTGGAAGCAGGTGAAGGTACTGCAAATCCCATCATGCATGGCCCATTATACCCCAAACCTCACCAGGATGTAAAGTGCATCATGGGGACTCTGTGTCCCAAGTTTGGTTCATGTCCATCATTGGTGGGAGTCACAGTGGTCTGTGGAAGCAGGTGAAGCTACTACAAATCCCATCATCCATTGTCCATTCTCCCCAAAACCACTCAAGGATGTAAAATGGGTCATGGGGAGTGATCTGTGTTCCACATTTGGTGCAGATCCATGACTGATGGGGTTAGCAGTAGTCTCTGTATGTGGTTGAAGGTACTATAAATCCCATCATTCATGGTCCATTCTCCCCCAAACCTCACCTGGATTTAAAGTGTGTTATTGGAGAGGGAGGGCTCTGTGTTCCAGGTTTGGTTCATGTCTGTCATTGGTGGAGGTCACAGTGGTCTGTGGAAGCGAGTGAAGATACTACAAATTCCATCATCCCTAGTCCAGTCTCCCTGAAACCACGCCAGGATGTAAAATGGGTCATTGTGGGTCTCTGTTCCAAGATTGGTCTGTCATTCATGGGAGGGTCGTAGTTGTCTATGGAAGCAGGTGAAGGTTCTACAAGTCACATCATCCACGATCCATTCTTCCCAAAACTGGTCCAGGATGTAAAATGGGTCCCAGGAAAGGGGGGGGGGGGTCTGTGTTCCATATTTGGTGCAGATTCATTGCTGATGGGGTTAGCAGTAGTCTCCACATGTGGTTGAAGGTAGTAC